AGGCCATGTATTTTTTTTAAGGTACATATAACTAAAAACACTGCAACTCTGTTAACGGAATTTACATGCATAGCTTTCATCATAGTTCCAGGAAAAAAAATAAAAAATCAGGATAGGCTAATATCAATATCTTCACTTAGCATAGGCTGCACTTGCATTAGGGATATTTTTCACACAAGATGTAAATAAACTATACTGATATTTAGAAAATCTTCCTAGTTTATGGCGATTTCTGCACTTGTAAATCAATGGAGGGGAAAAAAAAAGGAAGAAATGACAATTGCAATAGTTTCCGAACTGCAGAATGCAGAATCCAAGCCTTAAGCTGAAAGCTTTTTTGAGTTTAGTGGGTTTATACTTGCGTGAGCTTATACTTTTTTGGTTGCAGGAACAGTGAACAAGCGAATGAACATGAGTTCATCTTAAGACATCTTAAAGGTTTTCTGCGTGTTCTGGGGGGGATTTTTCTTGCTGTCATTTGGTAAATCCACCTTTAAACTCTGTTAGATTTCAAAAGGCTTGATTCTGGTCTGGTTTTAACACATACATATCTGACGCACGTCTATTTAAGTTAATTTTAAATATTGTATTAATGTAAAAAAAAAAATTGCATCAAACCCTGGTTTCTAGAAATCATGGCCTCCATTGCCAAGGGGCTGACACACTTGTGAGTGCTCTTATCTTTATATAGAGGCATAACCATTAATTACCACTGTCCTCCTGTCTATAGGCCACCCTCCAGTTTCTTCCCCCCTTATTCCATCTCCCTCGGGCAAAGAGTCTTTTCCATCTAGCAACCTCAAGATGCATTTGTTATGGGGAAAGAATAGTCTGGGTCACGTCTGTCTAGGGACAAAAGAATGATCAGCGCTGTTGGCAAAAATCCTATTCTTTCATCTAGTCATTTCAGCATGACCGAGATGCGTTCGAAACGCGCTTTGCCAGTAAGTCTAAGTCATCTATAGAGGATAAGGAGTAAATAAGACGAAGGAAAGGGCACGTAGGCGATTTCTGGCTGCTTCCCGGGGCTGGGAGGTGTTGGACCTCGGAGGCGGGCTGCCAGGGAGAGCTTACAGGTCTGCTGAACTGTGATAAACACTGGGATCTTGTTTGGTCTGCAATGGGAGAAGGAGGCGGCTTTTCTTGCACTCTCTCCCCTATTTTTCATGGTTATTGTTTGAATTTCATCATGTGGCTGTGAGGAGTAGAGAGCAAAGTTGGGTATGATAAGTATTTTTGCGGTATCTTAGAAATTGCCTCTCCATCTAAGGTCTAGGCTTTGTATGGAAAATTCACCAAGTGAAGTGCCTATAGAAAATAAAATGGAAATACGCCTAAGAAGGAAATTCTGGATGCAAGTTTTCTCCTAGAGATCCTTTTGAGCACAGATAAATGCCCAAGTGCCTTTGTCCATGAGGAAATGGGGCAGCAGACTCCTGTGTGTGATGTGAGCTCTCCTCCTGCCTGAGGCAGTGGACGCTGGAATCCATTTCCAAGGGCAGTACGGAACCACTGACATCTCCTCCACCTCCAAAGCTGTCTACACGTGTACCGAGCAGCACGGGATCGCAAGGGTGACAGGTAGAGGTGACACCTCGAGGCTGAGGAGCCTCTACGGCCCAAACCTCCTGCTCAGAGGGGAATAGGTGTGGGCAAGCTGAGTGCGAGAGTGCTTAGGCCTTGCTAACTGGCGGGTTGAAGTCAAGATTAATAGATGGAATTCATTAATATTTATTCTCCAGTTACAATTCTGGATCGTGTGGTATGTTGTTTGCTTTGCTTTCGTAATGAAGCATGATTATAGCTGGTAGTTGTATACAGTAGTTTATTTTTGTTTTTAACCATTCAAGGTCAAGACAAAACTTAGTTTAAAAGAGTGTGTAGGTGTGTAGGGGGGAAGTAGTTTATTTTTGTTTTTAACCATTCAAAGTCAAGACAAAACTTAGTTTAAAAGGGTGTGTAGGGGGGAAACTTATTTCAAGTCATCCCAAATTGAAGAAAGTGCAAAGATATTTTTTATGATATATGTGAATGCAGAAGCTTGCATATGAATTTGTGCTATAGAACCTGGGTCTGAGGTAACTTAGTCTGGATGCAGTGCATGTCCAACTTGATAAAGTTTTTCAGTTGTGTTAATGTGTTTAACAGCCCTTACATTCAGAATCTATCCATTTAACTCATGCATAAAACGAAAACCAAATCACTTTCTTTTTACTATTTTTTTTAATCTAGGACAAGTTCAACTGAAATAGAATTGCTCGTATAGCTCTAAATGGGACTGTGTTTCTTAGTCCTAGTTTATTTTTGCTTGGACGCGTTATTGCTGAAGATGCTGCCCCTTAGATGGGGTGTCCTCTTTGACAAAACTGGCGAGGCAAATGCAGCCAGGATAAAGGTGGGGAATTGGGCACGTTCTGGTCACCTGGCAGGATGGCTCGAGTTGCACCTTGTGTCAGGCAGAGGCAGGTCAGGCGGTCTAAGCACATTTGACCTCTGCTTCCCAGAGGAGGAGGACACCGTAATGGCGCTGCCCTGTCAGCAAAGGCATCTTGTGACTCCAGCACCGTCCCCACCGCGGCTGACCCGTGTTCACGAGGTACCGAGAGCTGGAGCTCAGTGCAAGCAGAGCACAGGCCTGCAGGGCAGCGTGGTGTCCTGCCGCGGGGCAGCATGAGGGACGCGCACGGTGATGTGCGCTGCAGGGCTGGGAGGCCAAGGGAATGACCTAAAATCCTAGCCCAAGATCTAGGGAAATCCCTTTTTCCTACATGTTTGTGACCGTGCTCAGTAAACTGGGTTAGCTTTTTGCTTATGTATAAAGAATTTCAGTAGTCTTAGCAGTGTTTTGCTGAAATTCTCAAAGACGTTCAAGCTGTCAGAGCACTTTTATTTAAAGAAGCAAATGAGATCAGCACCTATAGAGAGAAACAAATGAGACCAGCACCTATAGTTTAAGTGATATAATTGTCTGTGAATTGCATGGGAGTTATAGGAGATAATTTTGCTAATGCAAAGACAGAACATTGAATTAGAAACAGTCAGCCTAGAAATATGCTTAGAAATAAAAGGGCAGGTTATTTTCAAGGTAATCTTCTAGGCCTAGTTTTAAGATTAAGTAATTGCCTTCCTTCCACCCCAGCTGTGCTTCATAACTGTGGTGCAGATTCTGCTGCTACATCTATGTAAGATCTCGTTATGTTGGAGACCCTCAGTGCAGCCAAAGAGAAGCCCAGAAGCCCCTTCTTTCCACCAGTCCCGCGATCATTTTAAGGTTATGTTAAAATCAAAGCTTATAGAATATAAAATTTGATGTGTTTATGCTGCTATATTATCACAGCATTGTACTATACTGAGACTATTTGGCAACACTGGTTAATCGGTATCAGAGGGGTTTCCTCTGAAATGACACAGCTGTTTTAAACCCTTTTGCTCCTGTTTCTAAATTGAAAAAAAAAATCCGATTTGAATATATTATACAGTTACACTTCAGGTGTATATTACTCAGCATTAAATCTGTGCTAACCAGTACTTGGCAGAGCTCGTGATTTGACTGTGCCTCATAATACTTGGCCCTTTTGCAGCTTCTAGAACATTGTGGTTGTATCAGGATTTTCATGAGGGGGGGAAAAAATCTCGATGTCATGGTTCTAGAGCCTTGGAGCGAATTCAGTTCACATTATATATATATTTTTCCTCAAATATCAAAGGCCGATGAAGACCACAACATGTTAAGGGCCTTTTTGTAAAGATATTTTTTCCCTTTGTGAGAAAGAGGAGCCCTGCGTCCATGGCTGCGCAGCGCCGGGTGCCTGTGTGTTACTGTTACAGGGGGCTGTCACGCTCTCGCTCACAGCGCCGCACCGGCCCCGCTGCGGGGACCGCGGCGTTTTGCCGTGACGCGCAGCTCTGCGCTCTATAGGCGCTGCCCGAGCGGTGCCGGGGGAGGCGCCCGCGGGCCCTGCGAGGCGGCGGGA